TATATATATATATATATATATATATATATATATATATATATATATATATATATATATATCTCTTCCCTTGTGGTCGTTTGAGCACTCTGGCCCCATTACGCTCTGCGCATGTCTGTATATATATATATATATATATATATATATATATATATATATATATATCACTTCCCTTGTGGTCGTTTGAGCACTCTGGCCCCATTACGCTCTGCGCATGTCTGGATGCGTTGAGTCACCGTGTTGTACCACATGCCTTGGTGAGAGCAAGTTCATGGGGTATAAATACGAGTGTCTCACGTATCTAGACGTGTACCAAGCTGCACTGACGAGGCGTTGAACCTGCCTCGTACCCAGGCGTCTCTTTGTAAAAAACAGTAATGCCCATATGACGTGTTTACATGAAGTATTGTAGTGGGGAGAGATGGCGAAGGGGCTGATGGGAAGAGTGCACTTGAACTGCGAGACGCCTGGGCAGTTCTTGGTCGATTTCTTGCAAATTTGTACGATTTCTTGCAAGTTGTGCTATTTCGTTGTCGTTTACGATTTTTTGCTACTTGTTTCTGTTCAATTGACTAATGTTAATATTCTTCTGTCATCCGGGCGTGAATTCATGCTGTTATTCGTGGTATATATGACATATATATGCCCTTAAAGTCCATGGAAATTCCAATATTAACATGTCAACAACCGAAGCGTTGAAGAACTAGACTTGCAGGAACTAGATTTGTAAGCTATAACTATATAAAGGTACAGACTATAAAATTGCACTATTGTAATAAATATTTCAAACTTTACGGCTGTGAACTTTTATTTACTTGGGCTTTTGTTTACAGTATACATTTAATAGAAATTGCCATTGGCATTGTGATCGACTGATTGAGCTTTCAGCTAAAGAAGTTATTAATACAAAATCAATTATATGACTTTCTAATCATTTCTCTGTTACTGTTTTATGCTAACTGAGCAACTGATAGCATTTTATTATTCTCCATGTAATATCGAATGGCTTATTGCATTTTATATCCACACACTGGGGATAGAGGATATCGGAAATTCCAGGG